GCCGACCTTTTCATTTTCTGTCAGATTCTTAGAACATAATATTCCAAGGTCAGATTAACCGAGGATTAATCTGGCGATCAGCTAGCAATCTTCCACGGCAGCTGTAAAGAAATGTAAGGAGTACCATAGCAGGGGCATGAGTTGGAAAGTCTTTTAGTAGGTAGAGAGGGTGTAAACTTCAAATCACGTCGGATGGCTCCGAGAATTTCGCAATGTTTACCTGCCAGTGTCATTTCATAGAATAAGTAATGTTAAATTGTTACCGGCGGAACCGGACAGTCGCAAGTATTTGTGGACTAGCAAATCATATCCTACAAAATTTCAACAGATATTCGCAATTTATTAAACTATTTACCCGAAATTGTTATTAACCTCTATAAAATAATTTTGTATGCCAATGTATCGTGTTCACTTCGGTTAGCTTCGCCGTAAAACTGTCAATTTATATGTATGAAGTGGGAAAACTGCGAAAAGCCTTTCCAACTTCTGTCCCTGCTATATTTCCACCCAATAATAGGTTCTTTCGTTCGTCCCACTGGTGTAGGAATGAACTACACCAACGGACACCATACCTTTCGTTTGACCCGGTGTAAAATCCACTAACCTTTCGATCGGCGTTGTGGTGTCCACTGGTGGATACTTCCTCCACCAGCTATTTAGCAGGAGTGAATTACACTCGACATGTGTATAAGGAATAAGGAGGGAAGTAAACTAGGTAAATTAAGTGGTGTAACTGGTGTAATTTACACTGGTAGATACTGCACCAACAGCGAACGCAAGAACTTTAGATCTTTATTTAATTTTAAAATTTAAATAAATTTCAATTATGTGTAAAATGTTAGGTTTTTTAAGATGGTTGATAATTCTATTATATTTCTTGTTGTCCTTCCTTCAATAACGGAATGTTAGTTTATTAATTGTGATTTTATTTGATTTTAGCTAATAAAATAGATCCAAATTCTCACTAATATATACCGACAGTCTTTTTGGGTTCGTAGGGAAGAAGTAGAGTTACAACGGTTCTGGGCTAAACCCTATGTAAATATTAACATGGGAAGGAAGTTTTGTCACTGGATTTTGAAAAGTTACTAAGGTTAGTGACGAAAAGTGTTGCAACCCTACGAAAAAAGTTACTAGATTTTGAAAAGTTACCAAGTTTAGTAACAAAATTGCTCTTTGGGACCTTAGCAATTTCCCATGTTAATTTACATAAGGTTTGGTCCAGAAACGGTGTAGTTATACTTCTTTTCCGAGATAATGTTAAATATTAAAAAAATAATATGTGAAAACTTTTCAACCATTTTCAATAAAAATTTTACAATTTGTTTATATCTTGATGATAAATATTTTAGGCCTATTAGCGTGTATCCAACATTTCCGTTGGCGTGCCCAGAGGGCAAGTCTTATCAAAAACGAAACTTTTTTGGACAAACCGGGTGACAATGAGACAAGGGCAATGTTAATATATCTTTTTTCTACACCCGTATTATAATAATGCACTTATATGCCCAAAATCCGTTTCATAATGATACCCATTATGATACAGATTTTTCATTACGATACAGATTTTTAATCAATAGAAACCTACAATTTTTCAATCAAGCATGCTGTTTGACGTTTGTCCTAGGTTCCTATGTAATTATTTTAGTTGTCAAAACGTATTAAATTTTCGTAGGTAGCTAAACTTCGATAATTATAATATTAAAATGTCTGATATTAGCGATATAGAAGACTCCTCCACACATATCGGAGAAAGCAGAAAATACAGTACAAAATATTTTACCGCAAAAATCTAGGGAAATACCAATACCTGAAGTAATACCATTAATTACAATTTTGTAGAATTTTTTATAGAAATACGAGTAATTACTGTTATTGTGTTCAATACCAATATAAATATAATATTTATAGGTCTTGATTATTTATCGGGTGTAGAAAAAATAGCGTATGCAACTCTCATGTAATGGTTATTAAAACACTCGCATAAACCATACGAAACTCGCCTTTGGCTCGTTTCGTATCCCGGTTAATGCTCGTGTATTAATAACCATCATTACATGATCGTTGCATAATATACTATTATTTATCAATCGATTTGGATCAAGTTTGAAACAATACTAGATATAATTTCAAACTATTCGGTGCAAAAAATGAAAATTTGGCAACACTGTAATAGGTAATTTGAACCGTAGATCCAAAAAAAAAACAAAATATATAGGGTGGTCCATGATTAGTATTTAAAATTCTTCAAATAATTTATAAAATGGCAACATCGTAATGTTTTGACGTATGAAGTTATCTTAAAATTCTCGTAAAAATCCTGTGTTTAATTTCTACCACTCACAACATTGCGTTCGCCTAGGTTTTAAATTATATTGTGATAGCTATTTTGCAATAGAGTTGATATTACTTGTATGAACTGTTTATCGTTGCCTGTCTTCTATTTTAATTTTTCTTTGTTGCTTTTTTTTCCGAAAATTACCCTTTTTTAACGATTTGGCTCAGCGTGGAGTTGAGACAATATTGTTGAGACTGCCTAAAAAATTTCATTGATGACGTGCAACGATTTTAGTTTTCAAATAATAAGAATGGTATAAACAATAAAAAATGTAATTTTGTTAAAATTGGGTTGAGCACTTTTGACTTTACAATGCCATCATTTCTAGCCATTGTCTAATGTTTAATATATATCACCAAAGGAAGTCTTTAATTAACATTTGGACGTTAGGACGTTCAAAACAGTAAATTATGGGTAATGATAAATTATAGTTAAGCCATTACTATTAATTGCTGAATTGTCTTGATTATGATTGAGTTATTGGAAATCATCAGCAAGGTGTTCTGGTGGTAGACACATTTTATTTAAGACTTCCTATGGTGGTATTAGATAATGGCTATGATGACGGCTTTGTAAAGCTGAGAGGGCTCAGCTTAATTTTAATAAATTTTAATTTTTTATACACTGATGTATGCCTTCCACTCTTAATCCCTGATTTTAGTATTGTCTTTATTAAATTAATAAAATTCTGCGCGAGATTAAAATTATATTTTGTCATTTTGTGTATACAACGATTGACACATTATTATATTCCAGTTTATGATTCCTAAAACTACAGGAAAAAGTTTTTAAACTTATTCTTCTGTAATATGCTTACTATAAACACATCAATTTGCTCTTGTCTTCCGTGAATTGTAGACGATTCAATGGCGTTTTCTCTGTCATTGTCATTAACTCGGAACTTTCACGCAGGCTAGCATTAGTTTTTTTTATTCACGGGTACGATAACGTAACCGGCTACAAAAACCACTTTCACTCTGCTTGACGACTGACGTAAAATACTACAAAATCGTTACCCAACAACACTTTACTAAGCCAAATGCAAAAAAAAACGTAAGAACAATCACAGGCAATGATCGTTAATTATCAACAAAGTTTTGGAGGTCGATAACCTCCATTATTGGGAGGAAAACACACTTTTGTTCATTTCTTTTATTATTTTAGTTGATTGATAGTTTAATTTCGGAATTATGTAAGTAGTAAATACAAATAATAAATACCCTAGAGGAGTAATATTGAGAACCAGGGAACTGGATATCAGTAGCAAAGTACAAATATTGGGTTTTCCTAGGGTTGCCAATATTTCGGTGATTCTGATTCTGTGAAAAAATAATTTTGTTGGAGAATGGAGAATACACAAAAAATAAATTTTTCTTGTTTTATGTTGTTGTTGCAATTCCACCTGTTGATCCGAATTCCCTAGTGTTGTCCTTACAAAAGTTAGAGCAAATTCTCGGCGCTCCTCTCAGATAATTTTAGTGCAAGCCCGGAACCTGGAGAATGATCGTCAACCCCGTAGTCTCCGGGTGAAAATAACGGTGTTTTGTAATCCTAAATTTCCTCGAAACCCACTTAAATTGAATAGATTTTCATGATTTTTTTTATTGACTACCAATTAAGTTGTAAATGTATTTTTGTACAAATTACCTTCAATTTAAGTTCAACATTGCTCAAAACATTTTTTGGAATTGACATTTTATATAAGGTAAATATACCGACAAACTTTTAGGGGTGGTAGGGGACATCAAAATAAAAATATTTGTTGCTTGATAAATATGTCTTGGCCCGTGGGCACGCCTATGGTAATTTTAAATATACTCTAATAGGTCCAAAAGATCATTTAAAAAGTTTTTAACACATTGATTAAAAATAGTTTTTTTTTAATCCTTTATATCGGATACGAAGCGTTTTAACTTCTTGTATTTTACTGACGTGTTTCTCACTGTCTGGGTTTTCCTTAAACTTTAAATAGATCTTGTTCAAATTTCTAATTATTTCTATAAATGTATTTTCATCAGTTTCATAGTAACCTTCTTCTTTTCGAAATATGAAATATTCAAGAGATAAAACCGACACAAAATATGTAACTAACCCGATTGTATATATACAGGGTGTACCAATAAAAACTCCCAGGCCGGATATTTTGGTAAGTAATAGGGATATTTCAATTCTGTAAAAGCTAGTTTATAGAGCGCTAGAAGAGCTTCAGTTTTATATATAAATTAATTTTAAATAGGTCAATATGTAGATGGTGCTGCGCTCAATATTTTTGTTCGATGGGAGGATCTTTCTTATATAGCGCATCTTATAAAAAATACATTTTTAAGTATATTGTGTTCTATAAACTAATTCGATAAATCTAGCCATATTTGATATACAGAGTGAGTCACTCAAAACAGTTTCATCCTGTTTTTCGGCATTATTCATTGAATTTTTAGAAAATGTTAAAATGGTCAATTTTTATTTCAAATTAAACAAATTTTTACAATACAGACATCTGTCATGTGTCAACCCCCTCCCTTCCACTTCTTCAAGCCCTTAATTTTCAATAAGGAATGTACCATTATTGAAAAGGTAATTTTATGGGGAAGTCAAAAATATGACTTTTTATTACGATACTTTTAATTTTAGCGCCCTCTAGTTGATAACAAAGCATGGATCTATTTGGTGTAATTGTTGTTGAACAAGTCACCTTTAATAACTGCCAATTAAAAGCTAAAATTCTGTGGTTTTCCTGTATAATCAATCTGTTTTAACAAGTGCATTATTTAAACTAATGTTTTGTGTGCCCAGAAAGTTATTAATATCATTTTATGGAGCTAAATTAACGTTTTCTAGTGTGATTGTGAATACCTAGTTAATAGAACTTGCCACGTGAGTACAAAAACGTATGTTTACATTGATTTTAGTCGTTTCATTCCACCACGGTTAATAGTTTATTTACTAAACTCAATATTTAAATTGGATTTTATATATAAATTCGATTTTAAACAGAAAATAAGAGTAATATACATAAATATGAACCAACTCTCAAATATAGAATTATTCGAAAAACTAGAAGCGCTGATGAATAAAAATACCTTTGAAATAAAAGAAGATATTAAAAACATTACTGAAACGCTTAGTAATAATATTAAAGTAATTGAAGACCATAACCTGGAACTAGAGAAGAAAGTTATTTATATAGAAAGACGTACCAAAAAAAATAACATAGTTATATTTGGACTCCAGGCAAATACAAATAATTTGCTAATAACAGCAATACAAAAGCTAAATGATATTTTTAACAGTGGATTAGAAGAAAGAGACATCAATAATATTTATTTTATCGGGAAAAAAGGAACTGTTATTCTAGAATTCGTGTCGTTTTTACGGAAACAAAAAATTGTAAAAGAATTAAAGAAACTAAAAGGTACAGGAATTATAATTACAAATGATTTAAGACCAGAAGATCAAGCAACTAACAAAATACTAGTGCAACATTTAAAAAAAGCAAGAAGCAAAAACCTAAAAGCCTACATAAAAAATTATAAACTTTACGTAAACGAAGAATCATTCACAATTGAACAATTAGAAAACAATACTGTCTCTGAATCTGAACCTGAATCCGAGTCTGAATTAGACGTACCCAAAAAAGCAAGCAGTACTCCCCCTACGCCCACAGTGACATCCAAACTAGATAAAGAAGAAGAAGAAGAAGAAGAAGAAGAAGAAGAAGAAGAAGAAGAAGAAGAAGAAGAAGAAGAAGAAGAAGAAGAAGAAGAAAACAATAAAGTTCTAACAGAAGTGGCAAAAACTACACCATCGGCTCAAGACACTACTAGCAACCAAATTCAAGAAAAAACTGGAATAAAAACTCAACAGAAAATATCAAAAAACACAGGAGCTGTTTCTAAGCTCCCTGGAAATACTACTCCAAATCAAATACCTCATATACATACAAGAGATATAAGAGTTACTAGAAAAAAATCAGCAAATAAATAAGAAACATTTTAGCTTGCATTTTAGTGATATAAGTCTTAAATTAGTTATTTTTGGTATAAGTTAAAGATTTTATATAGTTTATATCTTTTAAAAGATTTAAGGTTCTGAGTTCGTGTTATGTCCAATTTTTTAAATTGAAATGAAACAAAAAATATAATTTAGTTAATAAGAGATTGTTTGTTTTTGGTAAGGAGCCAAAATTTAATTTTTGTTTTTATTTTTTATAGTTAAATATTAGGAAAATTTGAAATTTTACTACTTTCTCCGTTGATAAAATTATTATACAAATTTATTTATATATAGATTATAAGGTAGTCAAAAAGAAATAGTATCAATGTCATTGAAGGTAGCTCATCTTAATACACGATCTCTGGTTCCACATTTCAATGATTTTCGATACTTAATACAAAATGAAGATTTTGAGGTTATTGGAGTTACTGAGACGTGGTTGAGGAGAGACATCAGCAGTGATATTGTAAGGTTAGGTGATTACTCCTTAGTTCGAAAAGACCGTGATTCAAAACGTGGTGGAGGTGTAGGTATGTACATTAAAAACAAATTAAATTATAAAATCTTACTAAGCGAATGCTTTGAATATATGGAATATTTATGGATAGAAATTACTTTTTGTGGGCATCAGTTAGCTATTGGAACTTTCTACAGACCACCTAAAACAGATAAAAATGCCTTTTTTCAAATTTTTGAGGATCTTTTGTGTGATATGTATGCAAAATATGACCACATCATATGTGTAGGCGACTTTAATTTCGATTTTTTAGACATTGAATTACCAGAATGTAATCGTTTAAGTACAATTTTTGACATTTTTAACTGCCATCAACTTGTAGGTGATCCTACCTGTTTTTCACCCACCCGAAGCTCACTTCTCGATTTGTTTATAACTAATTATGAATTGAAAAAATGCCACATAAAAGTAACTCAAACTCATTTTACGAATCATTCACTAATATCATGCAAACTTGATTTTGCAAAAACGAAAATATCAAATCATAATAAAATATCCTATAGGGATATAAAATCTATAAATTTAGAACATCTGCAGGACAATATAAATTTATTGTCATGGGATAATATATTTACCACTAATGACATCGATAAAAAAGTTGAGATACTAAATAAAAATATTTTGGAATTACTTGATATTCATGCTCCTGTCAAAACTATTCGCATAGGTAAAAAACCATATGCGCCATGGATTACTGAAAACATAAAATTCATGCAAAATCTAAGAGACAAAGCATTAAGAAAATTCAAAACTTATAGTACTCCAGCTAATTGGTCTTATTACAAACAACTTAGAAACTTTACAACTAATGCAATAAAAAATGAAAAAAAGGCATATCTCCGAAATAAATTTGCAAATTCAAATACTAAACAAAGTTGGAATGAATTAAAAAAATTAAATATTACAAAAAATAAAAATAATGATATTCCTACTCATTTAAATAATGTTGAAATTATTAACAATTATTTTACTAGCATCGAAAATAAACAACCGAATTATGACATAATTAGTCACTACAATTCTCAAATAAAAAATAATATAGATGATCCTCTTGCATTCACGCTTGTTACAGAAGAAATTGTATCAAATATAATTTTAAATATTAAATCTAAAGCTTATGGTACCGATAATATGAATATCGATATATTGTTACTTTTCTCTCCTTTTATAATTCCTTATATTACAAATATTATAAATCAGTCAATTTTGTCCTCTTATTTTCCTTTGGAGTGGAAATTCGCTAATGTAATTCCGATACCTAAAATTAGCTCACCTACTGATCTAAATCATTTAAGGTCTATTAGTATTCTGCCCGTCTTATCGAAAGTATTGGAGAAGATTTTAGATAGGCAAATAAGAGAACATCTAAATAAATTTAATTTATTACCTATAAAACAATCTGGGTTTCGCAGTGGACATAGTTGTGCCACTGCCCTTGCTGACGTAGTTGATGATTTAATTCAAGCGGAAGATAACAATAAAATAAGTGTACTAGTTTTACTAGATTATTCGAAAGCCTTTGATATGTTAAATCATCAAATACTGCTGTCAATCACTCATTATCTGGGATTTTCTAATGCAGCTACTAACTTAATAAAATCTTTTTTAAGCGATAGATATCAAAGAGTACAAATAGGCAAAAACAAATCTCAAAAAATTAAATTAAAACTAGGAGTTCCTCAAGGCAGTATTCTTGGTCCACTATTATACACTATTTATACTAGTAACTTTCAATACTCTCTAAAATATTGTAACTATCACTTTTATGCTGATGATACGCAAATATACTTTTCTTTTAAATATGAAAATTTAGTAGAATCTTCTAATTTAATTAATAGTGATTTAAAGAATTTAGCAAAAACCTCGTCCAATCACCTTCTAAAATTAAATCCACTTAAATCGTCTGCCCTACTATTCTGTAAGGAATCTGTAAGAATTGCAGTACAAAACCAGATGCAACTAAAAATAGAATCTGAAATCATTTCTTTTAATAGCAATGGAAAAAGTTTGGGACTAGTTGTTGATAATAAGTTAAGATTTAAAGACCATATCACATCTAAACTAAAACTGTCATATTGTGCACTAAAAGCAATTTATCCCCAAAGACAATTTTTGGATGTTAACATAAAAAAAAAATTATGCGACTCACTTATACTATCGCTGTTTGATCATTGTGATACAGTGTATGGTTCATGTCTCGACGCTGCTGACAAAGCCCGTATTCAAAAAATCCAAAATTCTTGCATTAGATTAATTTACGGCATTAGACGTAGGCATAGAGTAACGTATAAACTTAAAAATTTGAAATGGCTTAATATGCATAATCGCCGAAAAATGCATTTTGCTTCTTTTATATTTAAAATTATAAAGTTCAAAACTCCAGCATATTTACATAAAAAGATTAAATATCGTACTGATGTCCACAATGTAAATATACGACGAAAGCAAATGCTTACCATACCTTCCCATCGTAAAGAAATATTTAAACGAACATTTTCATACAACGTGGCAAAATCTGCAAATAATCTAATGGAAAATAATCTTTTTAATATCACACTTTCTCCAAATAGCTTCAAAATGAACTACAAAAATCACCTACTTACTTTATGATGCTAACTCTTATTGTTGTATTATCCTTATCAATTTTTTTCTTTATTATTTAGGTTATCACAGATACATTTATTGTTATTTTGTTCTTATATTATCTGTTTTTACCTTAATTTTAGCGTGTTTAGTATTAGTATATTTTTTTTATATGTCTCTTAAATAAGATTTTTTTTCATTTATTGTTAATTCAATGTTTGTTATTAGTTAAGAATAATCAGGCTTTAGCGGAAGAACAGACATTTTAGTTTAAAAGACTTAAATGCACTGAGCTAAATGCCATTTACTCAATGTTTCGTGTATAATTTATTTGTTATGTTTACATAATACTATTGAGTAATAAACGTATTTATTATTATTATTATTATTATTATCGGGATAAAAAAACCTGTAACGTATTATAAAGTGTAACATTTGAAAGCTAATTTAATTAGTAATTCAATGCACCACATAACATTAATATAAATATTTCCATATTGCACTTGCAGCAAAATAAACTTAGCAATAATGTTTAAAATAATGCATGACTAATTTTCAAACTATTGCCAAGTGCAATATGGAGGTTATTTAATTAATGTTATGTGGTGCATTGAATTAGTAATTAAATTTGCTTTCAAATAAGATGTCACACTTTATAATAAGTACAGTTTTTATATCCCGATAGGGGGCGGTACAATTAAAAGTATCGAAAAGAACAGTCATATTTCTAAATTCCCCATAAAATTACCTTTTTAATGATGTACTACACATTGTAGTGTCACACTCTATAATACGTAGTAGTTTTTTATCCCGCTAGAGGGCGATACAATTTAAGTAATGCAATATACAGAAATATTTCTGTATCCCCCATTAAATTACCTTTTCAATGATGTGCCATACATGGTACATTACGGATTTAAAATTAAGGTGTTGGAGAAGTGAAAGGAAGGGGGTTGACACATGACAGATGTCTGTATTGTAAAAATGTTTTTAAATTAGAATAAAAATCGACCTGTTTTACCATTTTCTTAAAATCCAATGATAAATGCTGAAAAACAGGATGAAACTGTTTTGAGTGACCCACTATGTATATCAAAAATGGCTAGATTTATCGAATTAGATCATAGAATAGAAAAATGCATTTTTTACAAGATGCGCTACACAAGAAAGATCCTCCCATCGAAAAAAAAAATATTGAGTTCAGCGCCCTCTACATCTTGACCTATTTAAAATCAATTTATATCTAAAACTGAAGCTCTCTTAGTGCTCTGTGAACCGGCTTTTACAGAATTGAAATATCTCTATTACTTACCAAAATATCCGGCCTGGGAGTGTTTATTGGTATATTAAATAACTCTTTTAAAAATGCTATTCTGCATAAAACGTTTTGCTTGTTTCAAAACTAATAATAACCGAAACAGAACTTGCTCTTTGCTTTAGTGAAATGTAGTGAAAATTCGTATATGAATCGAATCTATTTGGAATGTTCTAAAAGGTACGCTAAGATTTATTACTGCCATTAAGTCATAGTGGAAGAGAAAATGTGATTTAACTTCACACATATGCGTGCTTTTTGTATACAATTTATTTGGCTTATTTTGGTTCATTAATAAAGACGGTACTACACATGTCCCAGGGGGTTAATCGAGAAATATGTAAAGCCAGGTCTGTTTCGTTTAAGCAATATTATTTTACGTTTGCTTTCTACCCCTTAACTGTATAATTGTGAACAGCTATGTACGGCTAGGATTGCCAGACGTCACGCTTTTGGCGTATTTGCCACGCTTGTACGCGCAACGTCACAGTACGAAAAAGCCACGCTTTTGACAAGAATGCCACTCTTTTTATGCAAATGCCACGCTTTTATACAAAAATAGACAAATCTGCGGGTAAAGGACTCTCTTTTTTACGAAATATAAGGTGAGGACCTTTTTTTTAGAAATTTCACAAAAGAAAGGACCTGATTATATAAAAATGCTTGGTATTTAAACCTAATGCTCTGTCGTCACGGTTGTCACGCTTTTCACTTTCGGAAATCTGGCAACCCTATGTACGCCACTGATCGTAAAAATTACAAGTGGATGTCATGGTTGAAGAAAAGACGACCATATTATTTCAGGATGATATCTTAGTCTGCAACACTCACAAAACACTTACTCTTAGAACGGTAACTCCCATCTTAGAAAACGGTGATAGAATTTTCAGCGCCACCTGGTGGACGTGGTTGATTTTTCAAATAAAGTCCTTATCAGGTAAGAGGCCATATGAAAGAGGAAAAATAAAAAGTAGAAGAGAAGAAAAGCGCGGGGCCATTCAAATTTGACAGTAAAAATTATATAGCGATATCGCTGTAATAAAACAAAAATGCAGTATATGTGAACAAATCTTAATTTAGCTAACAGTTTTTAGACACATCAAAAAAATAAATTTATTAAGACAATATACAAATCCAATATTTAAAAAATGAAATGTATATGAAAACTGTGTTATGTATGAAATAGCTGGATAGCTGCTACATATTCCAGGATACAACACTGCACCTCATTTTGTGAATAATTTTATCTGTGAAACAGGAAAGACACTAAAGACAGTATAAGTACAATCTCATTAAAATAAATGTATTAATCAAAAATTATAAGTCTGAGGAATACTTTCCTTTTTGATTAGTCCAGCATCTTCTACGATACAGCTTTGCAACCCCAAACGTCATGAAACAGAAAATACACAGTATAAGTATAAAATAAATGAGTTGAGTACTAACTTTCCTTCTCAAAAAGAAGTCCAATATATATTATAAGTTTGTTTCTTCTTCTACAATACAGCTTTGCAACCCCCAACGTCATTAAACAGAAAATTCACAGTATAAGCATAAAATAAATGAGTCGAGTACTAACTTTCCTTCTCGAAAAGAAGTCCAACATATATGATTAAGCTGTTTCATAGTCCAGGAGGAGCACAACTGTTTTGCACTAAAAAAAAATCCTAAAACGAACACCACACTATTACTACTACCACCATCACCACCACTACTACTAATTTTGTTGGGTTTTTTGTTAGTGGTTTTACTTCTAATTATATTACTTCTTACTACTAATTTTTTTTGTTTTTTTTGTATTTATATTACTTCTAGTACTACTCTTCCAGGAACTGCTGGGAGGAATATCGATGAAAATGCTTCAAATATTAGATCTCGACGAGAGCTTTTAAACTTTTTTTTAAACTTTTAAACTTCTCTTCAAAATGTTTATGACATACTACAAAGGTGAAATAAATTTGTAGTCTTGTTTTATTATTAAAT